TATAGTAGTTATTGTGTTTCTAATAAAAAACAAAGAAAGTAATAAAAATAAAAAATAAATAAGTAGAGTTTCAAGAGAACAGTTGAAATAAATTCTGTACTAATAGCAAGGAGAAGAGGAGGAATAGCTCTCTTCTTGAAGAAAAATAAGGTTCTCCCTTTCAAAGAGCTTGGCAGTAATCAACTTCTGTAAACCAACTTTTATGGCCTTGTTTCTCAGCCCATATATGATGGGATTAAGGGTAGGAGGTAACATAATATAGAAAGAAGACAGAATTTTATCTATGAAGGATGCAGACCCTAGAATAGGTTTTAGATAAGCACCAAAGCCACTTGAAAGGAACAATACAACCACTGCTAGGTGTGGCATGCAGGTGGAATATGCTTTTGACTGTCCTTCTATGGATGGGATCTTCTTGACAGTAGAGAAAATGTAAGTGTAGGAGATAATAATGCAAGTAAGACAGCAGAAATCTAGAACTATATTAATGAGAATAAACACAATCTCTGCAGTTACATGCTTTGAGCAAGAAATAGCTAACTACTGAGGAGTATCACAAAAGAATAGTTTAATTTCATTGGGTCCACAGTAAAACAAAGAAAAAGTACCTGCTGTGTGTATTACAGACATCATACCACTGCTGAGCCAAGATAGAGATGCCATCTGTACACACGTAGCCCTGTTCATGATGGCTTCATAATGCAGAGGATGGCAGATTGCAATATAGCGATCAGCAGACATTACAGTTAAGAGGAACAGCTCTGTCATTGCTGAAAAGGCCACCAGAAGGACCTGGGCAGCACAACCAAGGAAAGAGATGGAGTTGTTGTGGGTCAAGCAGTTAATAATTATTTTGGGCACAACAGCAGAAATTAAGCAAAGATCAAAGAGAGAGAGATTCCTTAAGAAGAAGTACATGGGTTTGTGGAAGAATGGGTCCACAGAGGTTATGATAATAATGAGGCCATTCCCCATCAGGGCTGCCAGGTAAATTACTATGAAAATCCCACCTTGAAAGTCCTGAAGCTTCCATGGTCCATCAAAACCCGTAAGAAGAAATTCTGTCACCACTGAGATATTGTTCGTTCTTCATAGAAAATTCTACATTAAAAAAGTAGATATGGTATGATTAAATACCAAGAATAAGATGTGCTCCTATGTAATGTTAAATACACATCAACTAATTAAACTAAGAGCTTTTATGTTAAATTCTTTCTGTCCACAAAAAAAAAAAAAAAAAATTGTTCATTGTTCATATGTACCAGATGTACTCTGTTTTATCAAGTTTTCTGTTTCTGTGTCTAACTGTTAAATTGAGTACAAGCATATAAACAGACTGTTTACTATGGCAATTCTTTGCATTAGAAGGAAACAGCTTGTGCATCAGAAAGATGGACTAAATGATACAGGACAGGAAAAAAGCAAAGCAAAAAAAAAAAGGAATCTTCATTTTTCCCATGCTATAGCCTCTTTCCATTTTGCTTTGCAATTTTTTTTATCTATCCAACTGATTATGTGATTTGCAATTAAACTTTATTTTTATATGTTTGTCTTATAAATACATTTGACAAAGTTTAAGTGTGCCTTGCTAAACTTTGTTATTTTCTTCTTACTCTAAGTATCTCTCATATCTTCTGAGATATTCAAATAATTGCTTATAATTGATAGAATGTCATCTTCACAGAGTTTCTTCTTTTAGGCTTCTGAGCTTCTCTATTCTCTCCCCTGACCATCTTACATGCTTTCAGTTTTCTACGTATTACAGTTTCTTAAAGATATGTTTTTTCCTCTTCATATGGCCCCAGGATCCCTACTTTTTCCATGAATAGCATGCATTTTTCCTCTTTCTATATCTCCTGCTTTATTTTTGAATAATGTAAATTGGTAAAAAATAAGTGAACATAGGAAATATTATTTTGGCCATAGGAATAGAGAAAACAGTTTGCTCATATATTTTAATGGAACAAAACCACTCAAAAGAACATTCATTTAAGTTTTTTCAAATATATCTGAATGGTGATGTTGATTAATTACTATATTATTCTGCTCTATATAGGTTCCAAAGTGTGAATATCTTATGGTACCCTAAATATATTCCATATTAACAAATAAAACAGTGTAAGTTATTGCAATATAACTTTTTGTATCAGTCAGTAAGAAAAGTTGATAAATGATACTATAGCTTATTGTTTTAGGTGCCCTCAAGTTGGCTCTGACTCACAATGCCAAAACAAAACACTCCTTGGTCTTGCGCCATCCTCACAATATACGCTATACTCGAGCCCATTTTTGCAGTCACTGTCAATTGATCTCCATGAGAGTCTTCCCCTTTTTCATTGACGCACTACTTACCAAGCATGATATCCTTCTCCAGGGACCAGTCCCTTCTGACAACATGACCAAAGTACGTGAGACTAAGTCTGGCCATTCTCACTTCTATAGAGTAATATAATGTAATGTAATATAAAACCAATAATATTCACTTATTTTTAATAAAAATGCATTGGCAAACTTGTGCATGCCTTTTTAAGTTCAATTGTCTCTTAATCTTTCTTTTTACTTCCCTCTCATAGCTGAAGTAATCTGTACCTAATATTTTCAAATAATTGTTCATTGATCATAATGAGCCCAGCACTCTGTTTTATGTGACAACTCAATTATATAAATTTCTATTTCAAAATCTGAACCAAAGTTCTATAGTAACAACTGAGCCTCTTAAAATAAATTTTTGAGCTCACATTCCAGAAAATTTCTTCAAAATAGTATTTATTTCTCTGTATCTTACTCATAAGAGATATATGTTGCAGTAATTTTAAAATATAAATCTAATCTCTCTGTAACTCATTGTTGTTAAAGGATTTAAATGATATTTTTCTCTCTAGACTATTCTTTTGCATGTGAAATTAAGACATAAAATATAATTCAAGAAAATTAAAACTCACCGAAACGTATAGAAGACAGACGCAATCAAGAGGATTTTGATGAAATTGCTGATGAAACTATTACTATGCATCAATCAGGTGAAAAATGTTAACTCTAACTTTCAAATATTGAGAAATGCCTTCTCTAAGTATCACTTCGTTCTTAACTGTCTTGACTTTAGAAAATGGAGATGTTGGTAACAGAGCAGAAGAAGGATGGTAGTTGTTTTATCTCTGTTGATTATCTCCCAAAGGCTTGATCTCTGATAAGTTCCAGAGGGAAATGCATTCACTGTCTTTGGAATTGACTTCTGAATCTGCCATCACTATTGTGAAATGAATCTTGGCATTCTCTGTTATGTGGAAATTAGTACTACAACTAAATTTTATTTTTTTATCAATGAGCAACTTTAAAACACTAATGTACTACCAAGCCTCCCAAGTTAGTGAGAGGACACTCACAGAATGCATTTATCCAATAATTCACACAGCCTTTAAGGAGAAGAAGCCATGTGCCCTGCACTTTCTCAAGTATCGGTTATCTTACTCATGTTGTTGTTGTTATGTGCCGTCGATTCGGACCCGACTCATAGCTACCCCTCCTTGGGTTTCTGAAGTGGTATCTCTATGGAAGTAGATTTCCCAACCTTCCTTCTGAGGAGTGGATGGTGGGTTTGAACCGCCAGTTGTCTAGTTAGCAGTCAAATAACTTAGGCACTATACTACCAGAGCTCCTATGTTGTTGTTGTTGTTGTTGTTGTTATGTGCCGTCGAGTCGGACCTGACTCTTAGCGACCCCTCCTTGGGTTTCCAAGGCATTATCACTACAGAAGTAGATTGCCCCATCTTCCTTCCAAGGATTGGCCAGTGGGTTTAAACCGCCAGCCTTCTGGTTAGCAGTCAAGTGACTTAGGTACTATGCTACCAGAGCTGTTGTTGTTGTTGTTGTTATGTGCCGTCGAGTCGGCCCCGACTAGTACAGATAAATTGTTACAATGTATTTTCTCTTAATCACAAACTCACATTTCCTTCTGTAGAGCTGGACTGGGTAGTACATGATTTTAATGAGGAATATTGACCTATCAATAATAAAGTGGTGAAAAACAGAAAAATCCATACTGAACATAAGCAGTGTGATCTATAAAGAATAATTTCACCAACTAAACATAATTAGTTTACTTACCTTTTGGAATAGGTAATCTGCTTAATAAAATAGCTGAAATTTAATAAGAGCTCAACAATTATTGTGCACACACCTTCTTTGAGACAGTAATTCTAATACACAGAAAAATTGTGATGTCCAAAATAATTCCAAATGGGAGAAAATATAGGATAACATAAGAAATTGAAACACATTAATATTAAAATATAAGTATATAATGTCTTTCTGCAATTATATCACATAAGCACCACAGAAGGCATTTATGTTATATTTCATACACATTTGGATAAAAAATTATTATTTGAAATATGTGGAAAATGATAGTTTTTCATATGTCTTTATGTTGTTATTGTCATCAGTTACATGTGAGTCAGTTCTGACTTGTAGCAATCTATGTAAAACAGAAGAAAACACTGCCCATTCCTGAATCATCCTCAAAATAGTTGCTATACTTGAACACATATTAGCAAGCACTATGTCAATCCATCTCATTGAGGGTCTTCCCCTTTTTCACTGACCCTCTCCTTTGCCAAACATAATATCCTTCTCCAGGGATATCCTCCAGGGATGTCCTTCTGATACCATGACCAAGGAGTGAAAAGATCAAGTCTGGACATTCTCACTTTCAAGGAGCATTCCAGCTACACTTCTTCTGGGACAGATGTATTTGTTCTTCTGTCAGTCTACGGTATTTTCAACGATCTTCACTAATATCACAGTTCAAAATCATCAATTCTCCTTCTGTCTTTCTTATTAATTGTCCAGATTTCACATGCATATGAGGTTATTGATAATACCACCAACTGGGTCAGGTGCACAATAGTCTTCAAATTGACATCTTTAACAATTTAAACAAGTCTTTTGCAGCAGATTTGCCCAGTGGAATTAGTTGCTTGATTTCTTGATTGCTGCTTCCAGGGGACTTGATTATTGATCCAAGTAAAATGAGATTCTTGACAACATAAATCTTTTCTTCCTTCATTCTGACGTTGTGTATTGGTCAAGTTGTTAGGAATTTTGCTTTGTTTATGCTGAAGTACAGTCTATACTGAAAGCTATAGTCTTTGATCTTCAACAATAAATGCTTCACATTTTCTTCACTTTCAGCAAGCAAAGTTGTGTCTTCTACAGAACTCAGATTGTTAATGAGTCTTCCTCTAATCCTGATGCCTCACTCATCGTCATATACTTCACCTTCTGGGATTATCTGCCCAGCATATATATTGAATAAGTATGGTGAAAAGATACAACCCTGGCACATACTTTGATTTTAAACAGAACCCTTATTCTGTTCGAACAACTGCCTCTTTTTCTGTGCCTGTGTTCCTCATGAGCACAATTAGGTGTTCCAGAATTCCCAATTTTCTCAATATTATCCATAATTTCTTATGATCCACATAGTTAAATATCTTTGCAAAGGTATTCAAACACAAGTAAACATCTTTCTGGTATTCTCTATTTTCAGCCAAGATTTATGTGATATCAGCAATGGTAACCCTCTAGTGGCATAGCGCCTAAGGTATTTGACTGCCAACCAGAAAGTTGGCTTTTCAAACCTACCAGCAACTCCTCAGAAGGAAGATCAGACAATCTACTTCCTTAGAGATACCTCCTCAAAAACCCAAGGAGAGGTATCTATGAATCCAAGCAATTCAACAGCAGTAAGTTTGAGTTTATTTATTTATTTATTTATTAATCCCTCATTTCACATCCTCTTCTGAATCCAGCTTGAATATCTGGTAGCTCCCTGTTGATGTACTGCCAAAATTTATTTGAATTACCTTTAGCAAAATTTACTTACCCACCAGCCACTCCTCAGAATGAAGGTTGGGCAAACTACTTCCATAGTGTTACTGCCTCGGAAACCCAAGGAGGGGTCGCTATGAGTCGGGTTCTACTCAGGGCAATGAGTTTTTTTTGTTTGTTTGTTTTTGTTTTTAATCTGTATGGAAGTAGATTGCCCAGTCTTCCTTCAAAACAGTGGCTGGTGGGTTTGAACCACCAGCCTTCTGGTTAGCAGACAAATGCCTTAAGCACTACACCACCTGATCTTTTTTTATGATTTTGAATTTTGTTCCTCATTCTTCTCCCTCTCCATTCAGGATCTACTACTGTGATCACTTTCAGATCTGTGGCTGCTGGGTCCCATGCAGTTACTCAATCTAAAGGATTAATGGACATGTAAACTCTAGTGTCAAGGACCATGAGAGTAGAAGAAGTAGATAGTGTCAGATTATGGTTCTAATGCACTAACATGTTGCCTATAGGGCCTTGGACAAAAGTTACTGAACATCTCCTTTGGTCAGCTACCATGGTGGCAAGCAGTAATCAAACATGGAAAAGAGACAATTGCTTCTCTGGAAAAGTTCACATGAATGGGAGAAATTATAATGAAAATATTGTGCATAAAATCTAAAATTCACCTGACAAACTATAAAACTGTTTTTCACAAAATATCACTTGTTCTTATAAATTGTTTATGACTATACATTATCAGTATCCCCTCTTTTCCTTTAAGGAAGCAACACATTGATGTTTTTTTAATGACTTACACTCATTCAATGTTATATAGATGGGGCTGTTCCTGCCCCCAGCACATCGCCCTGCAATGGTTAGGAATCAGGCCTGACCAAAGGTCATATAAACCAAAATAATAACACACAATCCTAGGACTTTTGTTAGAACTATTGCAAAAATAACCTATTCAATCTGAGGGTAGTCTATGAATGAGATGCTGCCATATCATCACCATTTTACACTAAGCCACTTTTGACTTAAGACAAGAAAGAGGAAAGAAGAGCCAAGAGATGTTATTGTTAGGTGCCATAAAGTCTGTTCTGACTCATAGTGACTCTGTGTTGTCCTGTTGTACACAGAATGAAACACTGCCCAGTCTTTCAGCATCCTCACAATCTTTATTATACTTAAGCAAAACATTGCAGCCACTATGTCAATCTATCTTGTTGAAGGGCTTCCCCTTTTTCACTGACCATCAACTTTACCAAGTATGATATCCTCCTGCCATTCTCTAATGGTTCCACCTGATAACCTGACCAAAGTAGGTGGACAAATTCTGGATATTCTTACCCCTAAGAAGCAACCTGGTGCTCTTCTCAGGATAGATTTGTTCATTCTTCTGACACTGCATGGTATCTTCAGTATTATACCACAATTCAAAAACATCAACTTTTCTATGGTGTTCCTTATTCCTTGTCCAACTTTCACATGCATAAGAGGCTATTGAAAATACCATGGCTTCTGGTAGGCACACTTTAGTCTTTGCTCTTCAGCACTTGAAAAAGGTCTTTTGTAGGAGATTTGCCCAATGTAATACATTGTCTGATTTCTTGACTGCTGTTTCCATTGCTGTTGATTGTGGAACCAAGTAATGTGAAATCTTTGACAACTTCAATTTTTCTCCTTTTATCATCCTCATCTGAATCCAATTTGGAAGCAGGAATGACCAGACTTCATCTCACCAACTTTGGTCATGTTGTCAGAAGGGACCATTCCCTGGAGAAGAATATCATGCTTAGTAAAGTGGAGGGTCAGCAAAAAAGGGGAAGACCTTCAATGAGATGGATTGTCACATTGGCTGCAACAATAGACTCAGATGTAGCAAGGGTTGTGAGGCTGGCACAAGACTGGGCAATGTTTTGTTCAGTTGTACATAGGTTTGCTATGAGTCGAAGCAGACTCTATGGCACCTAACAACAGCAGCATGTCTTCCCCATTTAATGAGTTTGGTCCCTTTGTCAAAGATCAGATATCCATACATGGATGGATTGACTTTTGGGTTTTTAATTTTGTTTTATTAGTGTATGTGTCTCTCATGCCATTAATACCAGGCTATTTGACTACTGTGGTTGTATAATAGGTTTTGAGATGGCAGCCCTCCTACTTTGTTTGTCTTCTTTAGTATTGTCAGTG